TGCTCGGCTGCTCGACTGTTTGACTGGTCGGCCGTTTAACTGGTCGATTGCTTGACTGGTCGACTGCTCGACTGGTCGATCTTTACGCTACTTGGCTCGGCTTCCTCCTGGTGTAACCTCTTCGACCGGTTCGGCAGATCAGTTTAGCCTCTTGGGTATAGTATCATATATCAGTTCTAATCCGTTGTATCTCATACTTACATGTGAAGTGGAATAGCAAAACTGCAATATATAATTAACATAAGAGCATATTACTTACTTGCTGCAAACATTTACAACACCCAACTCAAGTTAAACGAACCAGCCCTAGCGGGTTTCGGGCAAGCCCTAACGGGTTTCGGTTTATACGGTCCGGGCCTAAAAAGCCCTGATTTACACGGGCTACCAATAAAAAGCCTTAACCCTGTTTTTTTTCGGGCTAAACGGGTCGGCCTGTCGGGCCAAAGACCGTTTAACATCTTTAACAACCGCATTCAGATGCACGATTAATCTTTGTTGCCCTCTGCGTCGCAGGAGTTATTAGTTAAAATAAATTGAAGGTGGGTTAAATTTACTTAGCATGATTTATTTTTTCTAAAGCATATATTAGTAAAATAGTATTTATCTTGTGAATAATTATTTATTAATACTTTTTACTTTTAGTTATCATATTTTTATTTAATATTTCCTATAATTTCAATTCAATTAATTCTCTAAAATAAGATTTTTATTTATTTATATTTGTAGGTGAGACAATTTTTTTTTTTGAGAAAAAAATATTATATTAAATGATCTTAATATCCAACTTTTTAGCAACGTTCTGAAAAATCGGCCATCAAACAGGTCAAACTACTGGTTCAGTAGTTCACTGATCCAACCCGTGATTGAACCTGTAGGAACTATTTTTTATTTATTAATATTTTTAAACATATATAATATTTTATGTGATAAAATTTATATATCAAACTTTGTTATTTTAATATTAAGTCAGTTTAAAACATTCAAATACTTAAACTAACTAATAATAACTTATATATATATATATATATATTCATTATAATTAAATATATATGTTGGTATTTATATTAAAGATATTTTTAATGTGTTAAGTAAAAAAAAAAAAAAAAAAAAAAACACTGGACCGGTCAACCGGTTTAATTTTTGGCTGGTTCTGACTGATTCAACTAGTTGCTGAGAGCAACTTTAACGGGAGGTTTTAACAAGGTTTAAAAAACCCACCTCCACAGGTTTACCATCTATAATTATATTAAAAGAATAACCTTTTATGCATTGCCGCCAAAAAATCCCGCCAATTATGTATAGATATTCACCCGCCAATCTATCATTAACACTGTACCTCCTAAAACATAGTAAAGTAAATATCTTTCCTACTTTTTTTTTGGATAGATAGGGTAACAATTCACGTGATTTTTTTTACTAAATACGCCATTGATAATTTTAATGAATAAATGCGGCACTTATTTTATAGGTAAACAAAATAATAGATTTTGTTGGCGATAGTTTTTGTAATGTTTCCCTTTTTCCTAGTTTTTGTAATGTTTCCCTTTTTTCTATTTTTTTAGGTTAACAAAATAACAGATTGTGTTGAAATTGTATTTAATCAAATTTTGTTAAATATAAGTAACGCCATAATAATAATTTTGAAATTGTATGTAATTAAATTAGGCTTATAATATTTTAGATACTTTAAACAAATTGTTTAGACATTTTTTTTTACATATTCGTCTATATATATACACACACGTCTATATATATATACACACATATATACATAATTCATGTTGTATTTAAATATCCGTAGACATATCTTCTTTACAAAATAGTCTAGAAAATTTTTTTTTACACAATGTTAAATTCAAATGTTTTTAGATATGTTTTCCTTCTAAAATTGTTTAGAAAAGTTGTAGGTGATTTTACATCTTTCAAAAATAATATAGAAATTTTGAATACTTTCACATACACTAATATAATATTTTAGGTGTTTTAATATTAAACATCCAAATTTTATATTCTCTTATACAAAATAATGTAAATTTTATATTCTCTTATACAAAATAATTTTATATTGTTTGACCTCGAATCTTTAATTTGTAATTATTAAGTATCGTTTATTCTCCTCTTTAATTTATAATTATTTTTTTTCTTCCTCTTTTTAAATAGGATCAATGGTAGTTTTCATTTCCGTCATTGAGTGACTAAAATTTGAGATATATTTATAATATTATTGATTTAATATTATTTCCATGCATCGCACGAGTACACACTAGTTATTTTGATGAGGTTGGAAGTTTGATATCTTAAAGCTTTTTTTTTTTTCCAAATGGCAGTTTATCGCTGCATTAAACCTCACAAAAATAATTATTATCTATAAATATATAATTTGGCAAGACAAGCATTTAATTTTATTGTGATGCATTAAATTTTATTCTCCCTCCAATTTTTTTAGCATTCAATTTCATTTTTAAGTTACAAATTAACTTGCTTGAATGCCATAAATTATGAGCATAAATCAATTAAGGGAGTTACAAAATTGATTTAGCATAAAGAAAATGGTTGTAATGGCTCTTCTATTTTATTATTTCCTATTTGTTTGAGGGTACCGTTAAAATTTCGACGCAAATTTTTTTTTGACATGGTCTCCTATACTATGGCGATCATCAAGAGTCAAGATCAATCTCTCTCACACGTTCGCTTAGTCTTGAATGACCCTGTTTTCAGTAATAAACAATTGGACGTTGCTTTTCTGGAGTTACTAATGGGAAGTGTTTGAAAATAATGATATGTGGTGATGGTGATTCTGACGATAGAAAAACCATAAATATTGTATACAAACAATATGTTTAATAAAATTTAAAATCATTTTCTTAATTCATATTTTTTCTCATGAAATGAATTATGGTTATGTATTTTTTTATATAATTATCTTTTCTAAGTATTTTTCTCCGAGCAAATGCACGGGTTGAGCACTAGAATGACTTATATTATTATCATTTCCTTCACATTATGTCACTTCCAAATTGCTTATTATAATTATTAATAAAATAATTATGATAATTATTCCCCGTATTTGGACAATCCCCATCAGCAAAAGAATGACTTATAACAGTTGTTTATTCATATTTATTTTGCAAAAATTAATCCCAAAGATCAGACACATTATAATTCGAATTATTTATATTAATTAAAATAAATTAATACTTAGCTAAATTATGATGGCCAGATAAATTTGTTTATAATCCCAATACTAACTCCTTCAAAACATGGATGAATTTCAATATGTTCTTATTTTATGGAAAAACAAAACTGGCGGTGTTTATAAATTCTTCCATGTACAAGTTCAAAAATTTCAAGGATTTAAATAGTCCCAAGTTTGTTTTTTTCTTCTTAAAAAGGAGGATCTAAACTGGTTCCCCAATTCCCTACCGAGTGACTCGAACTCGGGACATGGTACACGCCAAGTGAGGGTACAATAGTCCCAAGTTTGTTAACCCAACTATGCTTATAGGTACTGTTTAATTTTTTGTCTTTATAAATAGCTATTACATTTTCCTTTGTTGTTTTAATTATATCAATCATATATTTTTTTATTATTATTGTTGTTATTATTATTATTTTGAAGATATAATCGTTAGAATAGTCATGTACCAAAATGTGCAAACTACCATCTTCAAAAGGTGTTGACAAGAGATTTGTTGACCAAAATTGTACGTGGCACGATCTAGAGTCATCAGTCGGAGGAGTTTGGAGATAATAATTTGTGTTGATGGAGATTGTGACGATAGAAAAACCACGAACGTTGTATATAAAGAAATATTTAATAATATTTAGATATTATTTCTTATTTTGTTTCAATGATTATGATATTATTTTTATATTTGTTTTTTTTTTACTTTATTCTCTTCTATCATATAACTTTCCGTGCAAATGCACGGGCCAAAAACTAGTATAAAGAATAAGTGAGTATGAAACAAAGAGTGGAATTCAAGTCCACTATGAATTTTGTGCGTGCATCCCACGCACGTAAGCTCGTGTGAAAGAGTGGTTGGCCCACTTTGCCCAATTGTCTCCCCACTTAAAATTATTATTATTATGTTCTTATTTATTTGATTTGTTGATTTTCTATGTTAGTTTTTGGTTATGCTTGTTTTCTTAATTTTATTTTTATTTGTTCACGTATTCTATTTGTAAAATTTACTTTTGTCAAATTTTTCTTTTTGACTTTATTTGCACAATTATAAATAAAAAAATTTAACTTTAGTTTTCATATCTATAATTTACATGTTTCGTAGTTTTTAAATAAATTTTTTTATCGTTTGTAATTAATACTCTATGATTATAAATAATGTAATATAATTATATATAAAATATTATGTTTTATATGAATTTATGATAAATATATAAAATATTTAGATTTAATTAAAATATTATGTGAAATTGTATTTTTAAAATATTTTACAAATATAAGAATATAATATTAATTAAAAATAAGTGGAAACATGTGGACCCACTAAAAAATATGTTTATGAGATTTATTGTTATGGAAAATTTACAGAGTATGAGAGTAAAAATGAGGTTTTGAATGATATGACACGTCATGAAGTGTAAAAGGAGGTTTACGAAAGTTTATTGTTAAAGATAGTCTGGAAATCGAAAGGTCCCTGTACCAAAAAAAAAAAAAAAGGATAATCTGAGATTCACTGACAACTGGTTTATTCCAGCAAACCGGACCGATCAAGTGACCGGTTCACTATCCTTTCTAAACCATGCTTTTTAGGCATAAAACAATTTCCGACACTTTTATGGACGAAGACTGACTTCACGAAAAATCGCATTAGAAAGCCAATAAGTCGTTAATCGACCCTTCGTGAGACTGAAATTCCAATTTTCAATGTGAGTTTCATGCCCTAGGGTTTTCCAATTTTCATCATCGGCAAGAACAGAAAACGAGAAAATTGTACCTGGAAACTCGAATCGGGTGAGAATTGAATCAATCGGGAGATATGTGGCACGAAGCTCGGAGGTCGGAGAGGAAGGTTCACGACATGATGGATGCGGCTCGGAAGCGGGCCCAGCGGCGCGCCGTGTACCTGGCCAAGCGGCGCGGCGACCCGCAGCAGTCGATTCAGGCAGTCGGATCTCGCTGCCGCATCCACCGCGATGATGCTCTCTTCCAGGCCACTGAAGATCAACAGGGCCTGTACGATTTACATCTCGTCTTTATATATATATATATATATATATATATATATAAAATCAATTCTGATTTCTGTTTTGCCCACCCTTAATTTGTTGGATACATGTAAAATTTGAATCCAACTTTTGCTGTTTACTAGTCCATCAGATTGTGTTTACTAGTATTATTTGTGGCTTGGGATTGACAACCTTCAGATGGATACCTTCAAAGAGTTGTTTAGCTAATTGTTAGCTGATGGTTTTTTCTTAACTTCTATTTTTATTTATCATTTATTTTCTTTTTTT